ATATATTTTATAATAAAGAATAAAATTATGAATATTAGATCACAAATTATCGACACAAGAAGGTCAATTCTTAAATATTTTCGTTATGTAAATAATTAAATTAAATATTATATATCTATGAGTCTATAAGTATATTGATAAACAGATAAATTGTCTTATTAATTGTTCATCAATTTTTATATTAATACTATGCAGAGGCTATCTTTGTCGATACAGCATAATATTATTTATGTTGTTCTAATTAAAGTAAAGATAGATATTTGTTCTAATTAAAGTAAAGCTAGTTTAAATCAATTCCCAAACTGAAATCTTCAAAAAAATAAGTATTTTATTAACTTTCCGTAGGGTAAGTTATAGTAATTGCAAAAAATCGAAAATAAAAATTTTTATATATCTTTACGTTTCAGAGGTTTCTGAATATTTTGGCATACCTTAGAAAAAATTGATGTATGTGTATGTGTGTGTGTGATTTTCGGAACATGATCAATCGATTTGAATAATTCAAAAAATTTGATTCGTATTAATAAGGAAACGTGCTGATGTTTTTGGCGAAGGTAGGTCTAGCCGTTCCGAAGAAACGGGACAACAAATGCCAGAAACGGTAACTAGGTTTTTAAGAGAACGGAGCGTCCGATTTTAATAATTCAAAAAAAAAATGAAAAACTGATTAAATTTTTTGGAAAGCAGATCCAGCGATTATGGACTCTTAATGAAAATAATTTAAAAAAATGTCATTTGGCGGTCAAAAATGTTATTGGACATATGTACATCAAATTATCAGATATTATATAGAGATTTTAATAATGTGTACACATTTTGTGTAATTCTTTTTGGGTACCAAAATTTTTAATTATGGTACGGGAAGCTCCAACAATTTGCCTTAAGGCACGATGCCATGCCCCACTAGTTTTTTTTTTTACTAATACATGTGAAGCATATTATTATTCAAATAAATGTGTTGACAACATATAGGTGGCTTTGTAGAACAGTGAAAAACAAAAACGCATATCATTGTCTATAATTTAAAATAAGGTTCTTATCGTGTTTGTGTAGCTCAATTTGTTAAGAGCTCAAAAGATCTATATGTTAGCTCAGTAATGAATTTGATTATAAAGAATCATCTTTTTTCTTAGAGACGACCATATTTAAAATGTGTTTTACTCGATCCAAATTTGGCCTATAATCCAACCTAAAGGTATGTCCAGTCTTAGAATTTCTTTTTATTCGTGGGTGTCAGAATTCTTTCCTGGATATATTTATGTAAGCCATTACGGTTACGTCGGCAAAAGGACGTCATTCACACAAAAGGCGTTCATAATGCAATCCCGCGGTTGAAAAATGACATGTTAAATACATATACATCGTTCTATTTACGTTATGATGTAAAAATGTAATCATATAGGAGCTGCAAAACTGCTACACACGTGGGTTTATTTGATTGAGCGTTGTACCTTGTATAAATCGTGCTATACGTTACAGTGTTATATAACATACAGAACATTTACCAAAGTCGAATCCGCTTATTAAATGTTTTCTATGAATACTCGATGGAATATATTTTTTAGAAGTCGCATGATTATTTTTGATAATTCTTCTGGTATAATACTTAACTATTGATAATTGTATTTATGAATACGGATTTTTCACTAATACTGTTCTATGTAACCTGTGGTGCACTTCCCTAGCCAGTTATAAGTTGTAAGTTGGTCATTTATTCAAATTTACGAATTTATTTATGAATACGAATAAAACGGTTTCATATAAAAATTTAAGTCAAATATTTATATAAAAAAATTTAAAGCCCGCCGTGGCGTACTAACTGGTACCTTTCGCCCAAGCTCGATATCAGGCAGCACGATATCAAATTTCCACTTGGTCTTTTACACACAAGTGCAAATCACAAGTGAAAATCTGCAATATGCATTCATCACTGTTAGATATAAATCTAACATAATCGCCACAATTAGGAAAATGGATGAGTTTTAAACCAAACAACTTACAAAATAAGTAATATAAATAGACTACAATAAAAATAGTTTTTATTGCTGTTCAACAAAAAAGTTCAAATCAAATATAAATTACAGATAAGTATAAAAATAAAATAATTTGAGGTAATATGTACCTAATTATCCATGCAGTTATTTTGTAAATTTTGTTATTAAATTATTTAGCAATATTTTATTAATGTGCAAATATATACAATCGAATGATTTTATGTTATAAATTGGAATAATTTGAATATTTAATATAAACTTATTAAATTATCTATGTTTTATTTCTGTATGTCGTATTTTGCTGGTCAAAGCCAGAATCAACTGTTGGATATGAGAATTTTTATTACCCAATATTATTTATAAATGAGTTATATTTAACAATTTCATTCATACTATGTGTCGCATGAACTTGTTGAAAAATATTTTCAATAAAAATATCTCATATTTGTGAACGGGAATAACGAGATCGATATAGATACGTATCTGCAAATAAAACGTTGAAAACTATATTTATTTTGAAACTTATGTGCACAAATAAAAATATAATGATGTTTATAAATGTTATATACTTGGGATGTGTAAGAAATAAAGCACTTATTATGAGACCAAATTTGAAATGAAATAGGACTAACTTGCTCACTAAAATACAAAACCACAAATCAAGAATTTACAATAAAATATAACCCAAATTTGAATATTGTACAAATTTCATGTTTTATAAATAATGAATTAAATATGTAAATATACTTATTTGCTTCTATATATTGATAGATTTACCAAAATTAAATTGATCTTTATGCTTTGATCATACTTGACAAACGACCGTAAGCCAATTCTTGTAAAATAGTTATAAAATAAATATCACAGAAATTTGAATAATAAATCCATTCAAGTTCAAATAGAGATAGGCCAACCAATCTCATAAAGAGACGCAGTGAATTCCTCACAACAGTCTATATAATTTTATTTCTAAAAGCTGTTGAAATAAGTGGACAGTAAAATGTATTTATAATTGTTTTATGTTCACAAATCCCAAATTTAAAATGATGAAGCAGATATGGTAAACTAGTGGGAGGCATAATCTATTATGACTACACTATTACAAAGTCCATTACTATGTCCTCATACCATGGATCAATAAAATTTCTGTTTTTAACACTATACAATAAGATGATTTTTTTATTTGTAAAATAAATTTTTAAAAGATATCTATTTTTTATTGATGTTATACCCGATTAGGCGACGGAGAAGTATAATCTTTATATATTGTACTACGTGTGCTACTGTATAGTACTTCCAACAAATATCAGCCTTAATTTTATATTTTCAAATCCAGTTCTTCTAGTATAATGTTGTATGTAAATTAGATATATTTTGCAGCATAATATTGTTTGAATAAACCGTCGATGTAGTTGAATAATGCGTTCATTCCCCTGAAGAATCTGGAGCAAGCATTCGATGCATCATTGTCTGGAAATATTCCAAGCTAACAGAAACCTACACAGTACATCTGCGAAGACTGACACAATAAATATTGTTACATCTTATAAGAAATCATTTCAAATTCGATTTATTTTTCTTTATTCAACTTTTGTAACATATACGTTTTCTGACTGCTTTTATTCGTGGAACGGCGTGAAAATATACGAAGAAGTCTTTCTTATATTGTAATTTTACATATAAATATTTCCAAATTGAGAATATATTTATATTTTAAAATTATAATATATTTTATAAAAAAATATTGCATAATAACTTGAAATAAAATTTAGAAGATTAAGTGCATTTTAATTTACAATAATTACAAACTGTCTCTGCTTATGAACAAAAATATTCAGGCCTACCATGGACTTTTAAAAAATATTTTTTGAATTTGAATAGAATAAATGAAACCTTGTATAATATATCACCAATGTAAAAGTCCAGATAATTTCTCAAAGCTTTCAAACTGATTCAATATACTGGTTGAAATCTTTATACTTCGTATTGTTGATTCTTTGGCCTTTTGGTCTTTCTTTTTTAACCCAAATGAATAGAGTTCAAATTATTTTATACATAGAATTCAGTAGTTTTGAATCAAAGAAAACAATTTTTGTTGAAACATTTAGTAACCCTATATTTGTTCTAATTATGCCTACTACAGTAGGTATTTTATAGAATACTGCAAACTGAACACGAAATAATTAATTCAAATCACCTAAATAATATATAAATGAGTGTGGTAGAAGTGAGAAACTTGGTTATTTAATTAATTTTTTTAGCTTTGATTTTAAATTAGTCCTAGTTAATTGCATTACAAATTTCTGTAATCGCTTCATAATTTTCTTCAAAATATAAAAAAATATTTAGATTTGATTTAACTTAATAAAACTTTAACCTAATAAAGAAAAATCACTGAATGCATAAAATATTCGTTATTATCTACTAAAGCTCAATGCGTCGCAAAATCACAATTTTGTAATTTAATAGAAATAAAACCAAGGAATTAACCATTTATACTTATTCTAATTATATATATTCTGAATATTCTTATTCATAAGCAGATTTTTTCTGTATAAAAAAAATTGGCTTTTAAAGTGTCGAAGTTATTTAACATATTCACGGACAGTAAAAGTTTCAGCAAGATACAATAATTGGCATTTTTAAATTGATAGTGATATCCGAATTTGGATTGAAGACTGGTTATCAGAAATGTCAGATTATCATGTTTTAATCATTATACACGATGAATGCTATAGCATTCACGTTAAGTATTAAGCTTCTATTTTACAAAAGTTGGCAGGTATAATAATCACAAAAAACGTAAGGTTATGTAAGTAAAATTCAAAATAATTGACTTTAAAATTTGAATTTGAAAAATTTGCATGCACGTTCGCGATCGTGTTAAGTAATAGCGATTTATATGCCAACTTGTTTCTAGTTTTATGTTCTCAATTATTATACCTCACTAGAAGTAATTTTGCAATATAACTAGACTTTATTTATCGTATATTTCATTTTTTACAGTGCACCAGAACTACGTCGGATCAGATTCCGAGAAACAGCCGTTTTTTCTTAGCGTCGTTTCGAGTGAAGCGAACTCACAATCTTTGCCGGTCTACAGGGCAATTCTATTCAAGAGAAGTGTAAGTACCACTTTGTAGATCGCAATATTTAAACAGTTGAAACTGCGTTTTAGAAACATGCAGAAGTCAATCTTAACTAAAAACGTCATTTTTTTATATTATGTTAAAATGCTTCATATACAGAAAGACAGAATTCTGATAAATCAGGTAAATTTGGCTATATATTAAATATATTGAGTATTCGAAATATATTTAAATGATATTTGTTTAAAACTAAAATTACATCAAATTACATATTTAAAAATCATATTCGATAAAATTCTTGCGTAACATTAAGATTTTCCAGATAATAGGAAGAGAGAAAACTAAACTAAGTTTTAAAAAAATGAATTTCCATACGTTTTCTGACTCTTTTTCAATGGTTAAATCTTCAAAAAAATATTGCATTATTGCATAAAGTAATAAAAATATTATAAATTAGGTAAAACTATGGGGTTATGTATTAAAGTGATGTTAGCTTTACATATAATTTTATTGTTAACTGCATAATAAGGTTGAAATGAAATAAAAAAATAAAATACCGAAATCTTACGTTGCATCCTTCTTCTATCATATCCTGATCACATGCTTTTGCATTGAACTATTGTTTTTATCAACACATTTATCACCATCTGAAATAATTATTACATATATAAAATTATGTTTGTTTGTATTATAAAATTAATTATTAAGTAAACTATATTAAATAAACGTTGATTTTTATGTCTGACTGGATCAAGATTCAGAATCATCTACTATACTTGTAAAGAAAAAAAGGTTTTTCTGTCAGAATAATTAAAAATTGGATTAGAAATCATGATTACTAGAAGTCAAATTGGACCTTCGTGCCCCGTTCTATTGAACTAATTCTGATATGTTGGAATAAAATCAATATCGAAGAATGAACACAATAAGATTTTTTTTATTATTAATTACAATCTGTCACGCTTAGGACATTCAGTAATTGTTTTGAATTTTCTTATTATATGAATCTTGAATGGATGGCAACCCAGTAGTTGTCCAGTCTAGTTATTTGTACGGTTTATAAAACTAATTTGCAATTGCACATATTTTTCTATCTTTTACTTTACGAAATAATTTTGTTAATATGCATAGTAAAGTAATTGTTTTTGACCAGCAATCAAAACTCAAGTCCTATAAATGTTGGGCTAATTTGACTTAACAGCAGCCACTACAGATGGCAACCCAAATAGTTGTCTTACCTCTGTGATAAGTTTTTATGGAATTGATGTAATAGGGCGAACATTTCATTGACGCAGCAATGTCGGATTAGGGCTAGTTTTACTCAGAAACACGTTGCTATCTATATTTTGAAGTAAAAACTGATGTCACTACTGCTTGACATCAGGTTTCTCGAAGCGTGATCGAACTCGGGACCTCTTATTCAGGTCCATTCGCTCTAACCGCTTACCCACGATCGAGCCAAAATTAAAATTTACCAATAAATCATATAGTATTTCAAATCGAAGTTTTATTATATTGTCCAGTAATGTCAATCATCGTCAATTGCATCGCATTTCTTCCGCTCGTGCGACAATATCGAGTAAACGTTACATCAAATAACGATGATACGTAATAAATAATGTCATTGTTCATCGCATTGCGTATCTTATTTTATGTATTTTAGCTTATATGGGAGGTAGAATTATATTTCCGTTGTTCGTTGGTTGGTTGGTTCGTTTGTTTGTTTGTTTGTTTGTTTGCACGTCTGACCGAGTTATTTTCTCATTAGCGGCGCATTTGTTCTGTTGAGGACTCTTGTCGAGTTATCGTCGCTGCGTAAATGCCGCGCGGGTAATTCAGCCAATTACCGTTTCAGGCCGCACGCCCTCGGCTAAAATATGCAGAAAGCATCGCGGAAAAACTCGCACATAACTAGTGTTAAATAAGAAAAAGAATTTTAACGACATTTCTGTAACGTAATAAGTAGATAGACTGTAATTTCTTATTTTGTGAATCATCATATTTCTTATTGTGGGGCCAGCGGTGGCGATATTGGTTCGAACGTGGGCTAGCACCAACTAGTCCCAGGTTCGCTGGTTCGATTTCCGCTACCGCCAAACCTGACATCAGGCAACTTTGATCTTCAAATTTCTACTTGAAGTTATAGATCTCAAATATAGCCTCAAGTGAAAATCACCTCTCGTGGGTATAGTTGCATATATAATAAAAATGTCAGCAAATACTATACTGAGTATAGATAATTAGAACTATTTAGTTCTATATATTTTTTTTTAAATTCAATTTAGTTCGTTATTTTCAACAGAACATTTTGACAGAAAAACTAGTATTAATTATTAAACTAATTATAATTTGCGTAAACTAAATTAGAACTATTGGTGTATGGCATCGTGCCATAGCGCAAATTGCTTCGGCAATCGTTTTGCCCAAGCAAGCAGAAAGTTTTGTGAATCATTCAAATCGGATACTTAGTTCTATCAAAAATTGCATTTTTTGCACATTTAGCTCGGTATTTCCGAAACATTTGGACCTGCTTTTGCCAAAAACTAATCACCACTTCTATCCGTCATTACGAATTGAATGTTTTTGGAATCATTCAAATCGGATGCTCCGTTTTCTCAAAAACTCGATTTTTATTTTCTACACTCTTTGCTCCGTATTTTCGAAACGGCTGGACTGGATCAATAGGAATCGAATGTCTTTTGAACTATTCAAATCGGTTGATTCAAATCGGTGCGCCTGAAAACGTGGACGAACAATTGTATCCATACATACATACGTATACACATCCATTTTTTCTGAGGTACATCAAAATGTTCAGAAACCTTCAAAACGTGAAATGTAAAAATTTTCAATTATAATTTTTGGACGATTACAATAACTTACCTCACGAGCAGTTATAAGTAAATTATAATTAAACTAATAAATAATAATCTATACATTGCCTATTTATGACCTATTTAATAACTGTTCAAAGTACTGCAGTATGAAGAAGTCATTTGGTTCATATAAATTCAAGCAATTATACCAAAATTTAATTAAGATATAATTTAGTACATTAATGAAAGGTGAACCACTGTTTTTTATTAAATTCTATGTTATTTGTTAAACTCAATGTCTTTCTATTTAAACAGATTGTAATTTATAAAAAAAATTAAAAAAAATTCAAGCAATAATTCTTATGATTGTTATATAATAAGCACTGATGCAAAATGATGTGATTCCTTTCTCTTAACATACATATTTGTATTTATCAGCAACGACCTTTACTTGTTATGTAAGTTTCTAACCTACATATTCCATATAAAATGTTGCATGAAATTCTGTTGAAAAATGCATCAAGTAAATCTATACTTATTTTCGCTTTGTTGGTTTTCACAGCTGTTTGAATAAATCTAACATTCCGCGGCAATTGAATCAAATGTAGAACATTTCTTTTACTATGTATTTTTTATATGGCAGGGCAAACTTTTGAAACATCTGAAGTTATAAAAAATATGTACTGAAAATAAAAAGTATAGTTGCAATGATAAAATCTTAGATCGTAAAGCATTTAACAGGGATTATTTCATTTTCTTCTCCCTGAAAGATTAAAGTGGTTAGCTCTGTTTTTAATCTAGACTTATTTAAAACATTATCATTAAACTGCAAAATATAAAACAATTTCAGATCTCTGAGATTAAAACTGAAACAACAGAAGAAAAATACAAAAATTTTAATCAACTAATTGAAAAAATTAACACTAAATAATTTTGTAATAAGTGTAAAATATTGCTTAGTATTTATTTAGTTTTAAATTATAAAATAAATTATTCTATGAAATTATGAAAAATGTTCTTGTTCTACAATGAAAAATACTATAATAGCGTAATTTGAATGTTCAATTTCAGGGAACCCAGAAAATATCACTATCAAGTTCCCCTGGACAAAAGATGACAGTCAAACATATCCTAAACAAATTTCCCGGAGCAGAACGAGTAGAAAAAACGCCTAAGGAAATTTACACAGCAGATGTACAAAAAGATCTTCTATTATTGGAAGAGCAAGAAGGATCAGTCAATTTCAAATTTGGAATAGTTTATATGCGCAAAGGGCAGAGCACCGACGACGAAATGCTTAGCAACGGTAAGAATTTTCTTTACACAAAATAATATAAAAATTATTATATAATAAAAATAATTTCATTATAATGTAAAAAAAAGTAAGAACATAAGACAGACAAATATTTCATGAATTTCCCGAACGAAACATCAGCCTCAAATTTAGCGAATATGTTTTATGATTGACATTATTGAATTTTAAAAAATTAGGTTCAGGTCAAAAGTAAAATGATATCCCGGCTACATAGTAAATATTTATTACGTATACAAATAACATTTAACATCGCATAAACAAAGTTTTATACGAACTGAAAATCGATGATGTGACATTGGCAAGTCATGTTATGGTACCTTTATGGCGTAATATAACTTTTATCTGCTGATGGCTTGTGTCATTATAAAGCCTTATGGATTTTTATATTAGAACCCGAGGTGGTACGATAACCGTTTCTTAACGTGGCTTATCCACCATAATAGGCAGTTTTTAGGTTCATTGGAAAAACACTGTTACAAAACAACCAGAAAGTACTATTTTTTATAATTAATATAATATATGATCAAAATTATTCAATTAATTTGAAACAATTTTTTCAACTTTTGATTACAAAGAAACAATGCGACCAATCTTTGCTAAAAACTAATCAGCACGATTCCCAACTGATATATTTCGAATGGTGTTTTGAATTTTCAAAATCGGTTTAAATTTTTTTTACAGAAACATGGACGTTAAATTGTGCACTTTTTTGAAAAATAAATGTAAGGTAGAAATTCGTACATCTAATTTAATCTCTGAATAAAACGGAAGTAACACTTTAATGCAAAATATAACCTTTACTTAAGAAAGACATAATTAAAAAATAAATTAAAAAAATCAATAACTATATAGGTATATGTAAAAGTTGATAATTTGAGATCGGTTTAGAATGAAATTTATTGCTAAAGTGAAATTACATGAATTCTGCCTTATAATAGAAGTTATATTTTTTCGTTGTACCTTATCAAAGAAGAATCATTTAAAATGTTGTTGATGGTACAAACTGCTTGGTTATCCATTGATCATATTACATAAGTATCAGTGCATCATATTTTATTTCTTAACTAAAGAACGTTCTCGAAGAAATAAATTTCCTCCTATAATATTGTCGAATTCATCTAATTTCTCTTAAGTAAATATTTTCATTCTAAATCGATTTCGGTGCTTTGACCTTTTACAGCTGTATATATTTAAGGATTGTTTGATTTATTTTTCAATTAATTATATTTCTCTCTAAAGTGAAGGTTATGAAAATATTACTTCACAAAAACAATTAACATTCAACTAGATATTAGACCTGTGGTAATGTACAATGTAGAAAAAGTACAAAATGTTCTGTACACGTTTTCATAAAAAAATTCTGAACCAACAAATGATATCCTATTCGAAAGATGTCAGTTGAAAAGAGTTTTGGAAAAAATCGTTCGGGTCGTTTCTTCACAATCAAATGTTAAAAAACAAATACAATTTGGGTTAAACTTAGCTTTCAAGACAATAGATTTCAAGTTGTAAACAAACATCTAATAATATAATTTTTCTATTTACTATTAATTTTTTAAATTACTTTAAAGTTGACTCCAAAGAATATAATAAAAATAAACCAATACATATCTGATCGTTTTTCGTTTTTTTTTTATATTTTTAACAGCAATCAGAACCTTACGTCTTATAGGCTGTTGGGCTGAAACTTCTTACTTCGTATTTTTAGATAGTGACCCAATGGTTCATCCATCCATATTTGATAATTTTTGTTATTAGAATTATTCTAATAGGGCTGACTTTTTATTGGTGCAACAATGCCGGGCAACGGCTATTTTCACTTGGAAACATATTGCTCTCTATATTTCCAAGTGGAAATCGTTGTCACTGCTGCCTGACAACAGGCTGCTCGAAGTGGGTATCGAACCCGGCACCTTTGAAACAAGTCCCGTCGCTTTTAACCACTTACCTACGGGCGAGCCCACAGATCTGATCAGCATTTGAATTGAAAATAGTTAATTCAACGCATGGGAGTTCATGATAATTGAGCAAATCATCCATATTTGACCCGTAAATATTTAGGTAAAATAATTTTTTTGGCAAAATTCTGAAATACGTGTCAAAAGATTTTATGTATATCTGTAAAAAAAAATCAGACTATTCTAAAATATCACATTTTATTTTCCACAAAATCCGTACGATTTGTAAAAGAATGACCCATATATATTATGTGTTTGTTTGAAAGATATCAGGTAAGATTAGTTTTTAGGAAAGGCGAAACGTTGATTTTTTAAATAAATAGTTAAAATTTTTATTTATATTACTATAAATTTTAATTCATATTGACTTAATAAATTATTCATACGTATCGTGTTTATGTTATATTATGTTTATATTGTTAATACAACTTGCCTAGTTAGTATAGTTTATGTCATATCGTTATATAAACTCTTCAATTCAATAAAAACAATGTATCATATATTTTGTATTTATTGGTCTCCATGTAACGTAGTACAAAAGATGTGATTTCTCAAAATAAAGGTGCTTTGGTGCAACTCAAAGTTTCTTTTGGTGGGGTTTCTATACAACGCGTTTCCATAGAATGTGCTACCAATTAATCCGGTGTGCGCTGTAGATCGGAATTTGTTATAGCGCTATTTACATAATAAACTGTATGGCAAAAATTAATGCATAAAATCTAAAACGTACCATTTTATTCGTAAATATTTTTGTTAAAATCACAAACACACGCGGCGACATCGACTCAGACAAAAGTGCACTCGGCAGAAGTAACACGACCGACTACCGACTACCGACTACCGACGACCGACAACCGAAAAACGACGACCCACCACAACGAGTGCTACCCGATTATTAAATTTGCATAATTTTTGAACAACTATTGCCCTCATCTAGGTATTACCATATATGGTCACAGATCTCGTGATGACGTCACACAACATGAGGCTTCTATATAGGAGATTGATTGCAAAATATTGCACTTGAAAATCACACGAACGAAATACATAGAATTTTAGTATTATAGTCAAAATGAATACTAGGTGTGAGTGGCATTTTGCATAAATAATGAATAATAATAAAAATAAAAATAAATTATTTAAAAAACAAGTATGACGAACAAAAATTAAGTTTAAGTTATTAAATCAGCAAAACATTTTTTTAAATATGTATTTATTTATTATCTTAATTATTTTTATCTATTTTATATCTTATTTTTATTATTAATTTTTTATGTCATCCGTTATTTAGGGTAAAGCTGAGCGCAAAGGTCCAATTTGACTTTGAGAAATTATATTGTGAAAACCAAACCAGTATTAGATATTACTTTAACACATATCAAACAGACAACTATCTGAGTAGGTTTAGTAATACTACCAGCTAATTCATCATTGTAGAAATGTTTTTTTATGTTTCTCAAAAATTTGTAACCCCGTCCTTTTCACCCCATGGGCGAGGTAAATTGGGATGACAAAGTGGCAAACAGATTCAATGTTTTATTTAAATATTGAAGAATTTTACATATTTTTTTTAAATAATAGCTACATTATTCAACCAGAATAATAGCTACATTATTCAATGCAAAATATAAATAAATAGCACTATAAATAACTTTGATCTGGTTCGTAATAAATATTCATCAGCAAAGTTGGAATAAATATTAATTTTATTTATCTCTTGTAAAATTGATTTTTAAACTTAATTTACTTTTTTATTTGCAATTTTTTATTTTTTACACCTTTGCCAGGGTGAAGGTTCAATTGGTTCTTTTTACGATAAAAATTTTGCCTCGCCCAAGTGTGCGCTTCTATAGAGGTTACATAAAAAAACTGTTGAATCTAATTTAAAAATAACATAATATATCTTATAAAATAATTAAATAACGTATACTTAAATATTATATTACGGTCTCGTAATCTAAGCAGTAGCGCTCAAAACCAAAACAAATAACGGCGAAAGAAAGTACTTTTTTATGGATTTTTGAGCATTTGAAACGTTTTTCTCCCGATAGCAACGTTGTAAGAACCAATGTGATGGCTAGTTATACATTTTGTTACTTTCTATTATTATTGTAAAAAAAAATTCTTAACTTCACTGGTTTTTGAGATATCGGTGGTGAAGCTTTTTACCCGCGGAACTTCAAGCCCCGCCTCACCCTTCCTTTCAAAATTCTTCAATTCCTCTCAAGTTAAATAGTTTTCGATATATTCGCATTTATTTTGAAAAAGTCGGCCAATGCAAGGCGAATTGAAATAATGCAATTCGTACTTGATCATAAGGCAAGTGCAATTATTCGCTTTTTCTGCTCAATTAATTATTCATTGAACAATTATTTCAAATGATGCAATTGAGTTCATTTATTTCCACATTCAATTAATGTCGACTGTACCTTTGCGCTATCAGAATACTAAAATTACGTATTACGTATAATTAGTATAACGAGTCCGCAAATGGTTACTGTCGGTTTACAACCAAGTTTAATTTGTTGAACTCGATTTTTGATTAAATTGATGTTTAAAAAGTAGGAAATTTAATTTTATAGAACCGGATTCGGTGCCTAGTGTCAAGAATAAAATAATTATTAACGTTATAATATATTACCTTATATATAAAAATGGAGCTCTCGATCAAATGATTCGCTAAAACTCAAAAACGACTAAACCGATTTGGCCAATCTTGATCTTGAAAAATTTGTGCCAATGCAGAGATGGTCGGAAAGGTGAGATATTATTTCAAAATCGCGTAGAAACTTTACATTTTTAATTTGAAAATTTTTGTAGAAGCGTAATTTGAATAAAACAATGGACGGTGGCTAATACGTGAAATGTCAAACGTTTTTGACAGATTATGTTCAGTTACTTTTATTAGGATTTTTCACGTCAATATTATTTAATTATGAATAAATTGTAGTAAGTAGTTTTGTTTGTAGTTTTATTTATATATAAAAACGTTAGTAAATGGGCCGCAAGTGTTACTTGAGACTCAAAATATCAACTTTTTTGAAATGTTAATATGAAAATGCACTTTTTGGTATATTATTCTCAAACACGGTGCTCTGAAAGATCTCATTTGTATAATTATATACTCATATTCTAGGATATATTATTTTTTATTTATGTTACTTAAATTCAGAACCTAAATTTGGTATCGATCAAATCGACCTTTTGTCAAATAACATTTTTCCAGTTATAATTTCCCAGAATTCATCGAAGAATAGATAGTAATATATGAAGGTCCGGGGTTAAAAAGGTCACCACCGATGTATTAAAAATCAGTAAAGTTAAGCATTGTTTAACAACAATATTTAAAAGTAGAGGAAAAAAGATGTATAACCAGCTACAACCTTGATTTGAAAACGGTAATCTTAGCAAAAGGGAAGATAAACAGTAATCTTTGAAAATCCATAATAAAAGTATTTTCTTTCGTTGGTAGTTTTTTAGCATCAGTTAAAAATGTAATTATTTTGTAAAATACTTTCAAAAAGCAGGTCAAAGAAGAAATACTTAATTCATTTTCTATCTATCCCCGCAGAAATTTGAAAATTTTGTATAAGCTCAGTAGTATTATTTACAATTATACACAAAATCCAGAATCCAAAAAAAATGTGAAAATCTTGAAACGTAATCAATAAATCGAATAACCAAAAAAGACTTGGATGGATTATACTATGTTTCCTATAGAAAGTGTATAAATCTTTCAGATTGATTGCATTGATAAAAATATAGACAAACTAATGGGGTTTATTGTTTTTATAATACCTCATTGTTTATAGCATTCAAAGACTTAGCAAAACAGCGTTTGCCGGGTCAGCTAGTATAATATACATATATCATTTTTAATAACCTTATTAATCTTTCAGAACATGGTAGTACTGAATTCGATAAATTTGTTCGTTTGCTCGGAGATAAAGTTCGGCTTAAAGGTTGGGATAACTACAGAGGCGGTTTGGATGTTAAAGGTAAGAACAAAATACCAATCACTAAAATAAAATAAATAATAAAAATAAATTTAATCTCATGTATGCGTGTGTAAGTTAACAAAAGTTCTATATTAGTAAACTTTTAAAGATTTCTATTGCCAGGAACTGTATAGTTTTATTAAAAATAAGTTAATTATCCCTTGATAGCAAATCAGTCATATTTTTCATCTATATTATATGTCATATAGTCAAACAATTTATTTTCAGGGGACATGACCGGAAGGCATTCAGTTTACACTGTGTATGAAGGCCACGAGATAATGTTCCATGTATCCACGTTACTTCCGTTCTCCAAGGACAACCGGCAACAGGTGGAAAGGAAGAGGCATATAGGAAATGATATTGTTAATATTGTATTTTTGGAAGATTCTGATGAAGATGCCGATGGAGATTCAGATGGATCACTTGACGAGATAGAAGATTTAGAAAAAGATGAAGCATTGCACGCCACTTTCAACCCGGCATCCATAAAGTCACAATTTACTCGTATCCTTTAAAAAGATGAAAAAATAAAAACATAAAAACAAAACAATATTAGTAATAGCCTAAAATAAACTGTTTGGACGTCTTTTCGTTTTATTATATTGGCCATGAAGGTGACAAACTTCAGGGCATTAAGCTTTACACGGAATGGTTGCTACTCCTGGTAGAGGGGGTAGCGGAGTGTTTTAATTGAACTAGTGGTTCACTTCTAAAAGTAAAGTCCGCTTAACAACATGTAAATAACCAATAAAAATGAATATATCTTCTTTCATTATAATTTAGTAACAAATCAGTGATTGTAATTAGAACTGCAACAAATGAATAATATACAAACAAATTAATGTTTAATATAGTTCACAGCTACAAGGGTTAAATTATAACCCAACAACCTGAGTTAATCGAAGGAGAGTTTTGATAAATTTTATAACTACGTAACACAAAAGAACATAAACTCTTCAAGTTCTTAGTTACAGTCAAATATATTTCCTTAACCCACTATCAACTTCAATTTAGATGTATTTGCTGTAGTTAGTTGCAGACGAGGCGTTTATCGATTATCAGTCTATTGTGATGAATCTGTACCATTGTTTGGGCCTTCTCTTCCATGTCCACCAGTTTTTCGAGATCCCAATGCTTTTCGAGAATTTTTACTTGTGAAAATGATCAACGGGGAAAAGGCTGCATTCCAAACTCCAACATTTGCAAGGAAACGAGAACGTACATTGGATATGCTGATAAAGGATTTGTATGCCGAGCATATGAATGATTCCAGAATGGTATGAATTAATATTCAATTTGGCATAAATTGTAATCAATACACTATTAATGACATTTCAATTGCCCATCACTATCATCCTATTCCCGAATTAAGGCACATTGCGCACTGAAGCTTTTTTCATAACTTTTTTCTGCACTTTAATGCTGTCAGCATTTTTTCTCTTGCACTTAATAACAATTTGCGTAACATCATTTGGCACATGCTATTTTAATTAATAAGTTATAAACGAAAATAATTAACATGAAATTATTATTTTTTATTTTCTCCATAGACGATGCTAAATAGAAGAGCTTTCTCTGAAGTACTAGCGGATGCACCAAGAGCTTCACGACTCAAAGAAGACGCACGTCAAATCGAATTTGTTCGCGTCGGCCAAGCTTTAAAATTGGACGCGATCGTGAAAGGCGATGCGCCTACATCTACTTTAGGAGTCAGTTGTTGTGGAAGTGGTTCCACAATATTCAAGAGAGCTCCTTGGGAACCCGAATGTTTTTATCCAGAATTCCCCGATGTGAGAATTGATTGTGCTGATAGCTGGGGAGACTATAGCCTTTTCTTGGGAACGGAAGATGGTTTATATGTTGTTGAAGGTATTATCTATTAGCAAAATATAACCATAAAGCAGCAGTAGGAACTGTAATTTTCAATATTACAATCTATAAATTTATTTTTTATTTATATGTATAAACAAGTTGGTGCTGGTGCCATTTCAAGAAACAATATTATTATAATTTTTATTTTATTAAAAAATAAAAATATTTCTCAATAGATGGAAATGCACATATCCTGGTATTTGATCGCTCATTACAAGTTAAGCAAGTAAGTGCGGTGGAAGCGCATGGACTGTTACTGGTTCGAGCAGGGACAAATGGATCTGGTTCTGCTGGTAACTATTATCTACTATTTAATCTTAATTGACAAAACATTATTATTAAAATATGTTGTACTGAAGCAAAAAAAAATTCATTAATAGGTAGCTCTCGCGTACACGTATTCAGATTAGATGAATTTAGAGGCGCGACTTCTGGATCCCCACCACAAGTGCGAACAAGACTTGATGTAAAAGATAGAAGAATGGACAAAACTAGAGGCTGCCATCTTTATGCAATTTCCAGACCAGGTAATTTTAGTTCATCATCACATAAAAAAATTCTTATTTGTCCTCTTGAAATCACATTAAAAAAATTCCTAATTATCCTCTTGAAATCGTTTAATTTCTTCGTTTGCATCCAATATATTTGTCCAAAACACATTTGTAGCTTACTTTTCAATTTATATAAAAAATTCTTAATTATTATTTTTTCTTATGATGTCTATTATTATTTATTTTAGGAGGAGCGTACTTAAAAATGGCAGTAGCAGTTGGCAAAAGAGTTTTATTATTCCAGTGGCGACACACAGCGGCATGGACTGCCTGGTGTCCTGCCAGTGATACTGATACAGTAGAAGGATTTACATTTATTAAGGTGCTTTTCAATCAAAGTCGATTAATATATAATAATATTTTTCAGTAGTTTCATTTGTTATTGTTTTATTAATTTAAGGAAATATCTCTGTGCGAATCACCAACGCTGATGACTTTACTTGATGGTCCAGTCGCAATGCCCAAATCTCCAAGTGCAAAATCTACGACGCAAAATGGTAGCGCAACTATTCCTTGTGCATCAGGTTGCATGTGCGTTGGCTACAAGAATCACTTCGAATTAGTCAATGAAAGCACAGGACAAACACATAAAGTACATAGTGTGGACACAGGTTGGTCAAATATTACAATTATCAAAATTTGAAACTCAAGAAAGTATACATTTTTTGTTTTCTTCTAGCTTCAGGAAACAAAGTGGATATGGTGGCAGCGCTTGACCTTTATGAAGATCAAGAAGTTGAGCTATTACTATGCTATGACCGTAAGTACTTCGGCGCCTTAACATTTTATTTGTACTATTAAATCTATTGATTGTATTTTTTGTATTTTCAGATACTTGTCATTTTCAAAAAGTGATAGAAGATGGGGGTTCCACCACAGAGTACGACTTCTATTGGAATACTGTTCCTTCTTCAATAGGTAAATTAGCTACTATTGAACATAAAAAGGCTCTAACAACAACTCTGAGCATATGTTATGATCTAATTTATTAATTAAATATTCAGTATATAGCAATAAAAAATGGTCATAACTACTGTTATTTTATGAACAATATTATGATCAATGAATCTATCAATTTTTGCACAAACTATACCTTTAGTGGCTACAGATGTAACATCTTTCTTTTCAGTGTGCGCTTTTCCTTATATCATTGCTTTCACCTCGGATTCGATGGAAATCCGTCTCCTGGTCAATGGAAATTTGGTCCACACTCTTTCGATGCCACGTTTACAGTTATTGGCTAGTAAATCGGATGTGTACTTCTGCAGTACTGCTCCTGAATTTAGACCTGCTACAAATCCATCTTGTGTTGAACGACCATCAATGAATCACAATAATCACAAAAACCACAATGCTGCAAAAATTCCTATGGACAACTGTTCTGTGACGCCTAATCATTCACCGCCACCACATTGTAAGTGTAAGTTAAAAAAGAACTTAACTTTATGATAAGAGTTAATCAATTGATCGATTAATCAATTGGATAAAAGCAGCAATGTTTGAGGTGATGAAGTATGAAATAATGTCTTTTGCAGCTTCTTCATATGATAACAATTCGAAGCCATTGCGATTATATCGGATACCAGTTGCTCATCTTAGTGGGACTAGTGCAATATCTGAACATGGTCGTAGACCACCAAGTGCAGGGAATAGAAGGTACAAACTAATTGTAGTGTGTTTTTGAAAAAAATAAAAAAATCTATTAGATGATATGGAAGATTAAGTGATAGTTCAGAAACTTTATTAAGTCTTCTCTTGTTGATGATTATCAAACAGAGCTTTATAAATCTTTATCATCCACTACAACTTCAGCTATTTTGTTAGTTAGAATACTTTCAGAATCACTTGTTTTCCCTTTAAAGTCTAAAGTTAAGACGAATGCTCAATTTAACCCAACTTACACTAAAAGATTTAATGGCTAATGGAATTGATAGTAACATTTTCTACGTACCTTACATTTTGAAGCAAAGCACAGTGTCAACGTCATTTTGTGATAGTATTTGATCTCTGAAATAAAAAAAATACAAATTAATTAATTGAAAATAAACAAACAATAAAAAATTTACTATCATAAATTATTTATACTATATAGCATAAGTCGTCACGTCATTTTAAATCATTTGATTCGAAATTTGAAAATTTTTGTTTGACGTTGATTTTTTGCAAAAATTGCCATTACGTTCAAAAGTTTCAAAAGTCATTTATCACAACTCAATGATGTCTTCTCAGGTATTCAAAATTTGCATCAAGTGGTGACAAAAGCATCGCAAAAATTACAGAGGAAGACAGAACAAATAGTACGAATCAAGATTTTCTAGTACCTCCTAGAAGAGAGTTTTCAAGAAGTTGTTCAAGTTCGCCTACGCCTGCTTCTAACAAATTTAATACTTCTTTCTAAACTTAAACTTGTGATAAATCGAACTTAAAACTGTACTTAATTAAGTTATTAGCCTTGGGATTCTAGATATGTTGTCGAAATGTGTTTATATCTAAAATTGGAATACTGTAAATTGTTTTTTCTATTAAAATTATTTATAAATAATTAAGCGGTGCGTGAAGTATTTTGAAAAATCAATGGCACTATAATACGTTCAAAAATATCTATTTAGAAAATATAAACTAGTAATTTAATTTTAAAATATTCACCTCTGGTCTTACGTTAAGATAAGCAGTACACTGGTCATTTTAAATTTATTTGTGATTTTGGCAATCTTCATAAGTTTTACACTAAAATATTTGTGATTTTTTTATTTTCTCTCTTTTAAAATGAGAGTAAAATTATTTTAACAACTATATTCTAAATTAAAACTTTCCATAATACGAATGGACTTTCTACATAAGTAATAAGATACTCCTACATAAGTAAAAGAACCCATTGTACTGATTTCATAAAGCAAGTAGTAATATATCATTCAATAAATGGTCGTATTTATTATTTATTTGGAAATTTATTAACTTTAATATTATTTGTTATATTATATAAAAAAAATTAAAATTCAGTTTTCTCAGATCTTAGATTATTCTGTTGATATTTTTTATTCTTTTATAAAATTCTATAATAAATTATGTACCGCAAGGCCTGTAAGGTTTATCTGGTAATTTTTATTAAAGGTTTCCAATTTAGCATAAAAAGGTAATAACTGGTTTGTCATTTTTCATGTTAATATATATTGCACATAAACTTTTCAGAGCAATTTTGAATTTATTTTAGTTTTTGCAGAAAAATAAATATTTTTGTAGATAGTCTAATGGTTGATTTGATGAAAAATATTAAAACAATAAAATAAGTTTTATATTATTCGAATAACTATGATTTCTGCAAAATAGACACGTGATATCTAACGAAATTGCTGGAATCATCTAATATATATTAATATGATTAACACTTACTTAATTATCTATATATTATAATTTTTATATTCACTTACAATATTGTAATATAATCTATCGTTAAGTACAAAAAGTGTTTCAAAGATGTATCATCACGTGGTGCTTAAAATTACACTATAATCTTTACTATATTTATATCTCTATTTCAAGTATTAAATGTAAAAATTATTATCTATATATTAACTATTGTGTACAGGTAAAAGATTTATATAATTAAATATCTATGATAGTTTAACAAATATTATAAATATAATATATTATAATAATGTTTCTTGCTGAAAAAGATTAAGTTTTTCTATTAAAGGTTATGTGAAAATATAAATAATCAATTGATGTTATAATCAATCAATAATGAATATATTTATATAATAAGAATATTTATGGAATAATATATATATGAAATGTTAGACAGAAAAGTGTTACATATATTAAATATTCTATTAGACTACGTACCTTGGTGAGTGTTTCAAATTGTTCTGATATTAATATATAAATAATCAGAAGTATTTTATTTAAAATAAAGCATTTATATGATATATTTAATATACTGTATATTAACGAAGTGAATTTTAAAACATGAATGTAACCAGGGGTAGCGACAAGGGTTGCATTTTCTTAACTCTTACAATTTTCAAATAAAATCTGAATTGATGTTTTTTGGAAATGGAATCTAAATATTGGAATAAATATTGTATCGTTCTGTAATATTATAATAATAATCAGATTCAGATTTTATGCCCCTTCTATACATATATTCTGGATACGCTCATGAATGCAAAGAACTTTAATGCATTTCAAAAAATTTTTGAAAGGGTTTCAAATTTAATATTAAGCAACATTTATGAAATAAATATTTTAAGTTATAAATTAAAACACAAATTCAAAGAGATTTCTTCAAGAGTAAATAAATTTGATAAAATTATCAATGACTAATAAGTTTAACCGTTTACTGCGATAGTTGATCTCTTATATTTTCCGGCAATGGTGTTAAAAAGGTATTAAAAATATTAGTTCTAACATTTTGGGAAGCATCACATTACACAGAAAACATTAATCTTTAGTTATATTTAGTATCGCATTAATAAATATCGCAAAACTTCCGTAATTGTTACAAATGTTAACTAAACTATATTATACAGCAAATATTTAATGTTTCAATTCCACTTATAAAAATATTTGGTTTATCTGAAATGTGTTAAACAAACAAATCTATGCCTTTTTAAAAAATTAAATTCAGGAGTCACACAGCACTAAGATGGCAAAAAACTTCAAAATTATTAAATTATATTATTTTTTTAAATATTTTTTTGAAATATTGTAAATTAGTCAATTTTTCGATCAATTTTATTTGTTTAATATTTGTGTATATTGCGGAAGTTCCATAAGTTTGCTTTAAGGCGGTGGTTTCCAATCTGTGGGGCGCACCCCCTCATAACATCGCTAAGTTGTTACAAGGGTACAACTGTTTCCAAAATTCAGTTTTCGAAAATAAACAAAAAATGAAATTATATAAAAAATAATCATTTTTCATGCATATTTTTATATAATGTTTTTAACCTGTCTGACTGGGATATGAAAATAATAAATAAATATATGAATAAAAAAAACAAATTAATTTGCAGTCTGATAATCATCTTTGATATTAGTTGAGTATTTATGAAATGAAATTGTTGAAAAAAAGAAAAACCCAACTATTTTTTATCAGAACGCAGGGGGGGTGCAAAAAAGATTGAAATCCACTGCTTTAGACAACGTTCTGAAAATAGTGTCTTCAATCTAACAATAAGCCGAATACATTTTATTTTGCAAACAAATGCAATTTTCATATCATCTTAAGATGCTTATGAATCATAGTAATGTTTTCATATTATTTGTACTATAAACAGTTTCCGCACACATATACATCATGAGTTCAACGACACATGATGTGAAGATTCATTTTTTTTCCTAAAAATTAACTTTGACTAAGATTATGAGCCATCATATACTCTACTATAATTCACTTATCATAAATTCATTGCCAGGAGTAAAAATACTACGGTAGCTTATACTAGCTTTTATATTTGTAATAATTAAATCAGTTTTCTGATTATCTAAAAACTAATGCCAAACAATGTTTTATTATACCCATATATCTATATAATAATATGATAATAATTATAATAATATTATTATTTAATGGTAAAATAAGAAGTGACTTTAGTTTTAGCCGCGTGGCACAAAATAAGTTGTACTTAGTCGTCTTTAGATAAATAAGTACAACTTTAATTATAATTTCTACTGTTATTATTAATGTTGTGACGTGAGATAATATATAATACGAAGAAGTTTATTATAAGGATAATATTACAAATATTATGTAAATACTGACAGATATTGTAAATATATATTAGTATACTAAACTATTTATTATACATATATGTATATGCATGCAACAAGTTAAGGGTGGAAATTATCTATTATTTTTCGTAGTTTATTGGTAAAACAACTTAAGATTTTTGCACGTGAAAGCATTAAAATCGATTTTGTTATTTTATTTTTATTCCGTTCAGTTAATTCAATTTGATATATTCATTGGATTATTTTATCATTAAACAAAAATGAGGGCTATAAAAATATTATGATCTAGATACATAGCAACTCTTATTATCATAGCAATAGTTAATTTTAATTTTGTTCACATCGATTCCAAATAACAGTTTCAGTACATAATCATTTAGAATACAGTAGTTTTTAAAACATTTCACCAAAAAGTAATAGATTTTTAACCTTAACTAATGTATGTATAAACATATATGCATAGCTTATATAATAAAGAAATATAATATGATTGTCCATGTGTCTATATATGTGAAGTATGTGAAAATAACTATATTTTGATTTTAAAAAATAATAAATGGTATACTTGTATCAAAATATTAAGTTTTTTTCTATAATTGCAGCATTCATTGCCATCATAAGTTAACCACAAATCAATTATTTTGTATTGATACTACATAGGGGCGTTGCTACCAGCCGTATCAAAAATACGGAGTCCCCGAGACAGGGAACCCCCAATGATATTGATATTGAAACGAAGGCGAAAATTTTAGCACTCTTCTCCTAATTTTAAGGAATCGACTCGGCCTATCGTTGGAAAACCAAACATTTTCTGGCAAAAACATAAACCATTCCTTCGGGGAGTTAGTCATTATTAACTGAAGCAGAAACTTTATCAAAAACTGTAGCCATTATAAGCTATAAATGGTTTAACAATTGTGTGTATTGAATTTGAATTGTTTGTAGAAATTTTCAAAAAAGGATAGATGAATATTGATGATAAATGAAATTTTATTAAATTACTGCCTGGGGGGCCCCCGGCCAATGCACGCTATGCCCCTGATACAACATGAGAAATAATAGTCAGTTTTTATATTAAGTCAATCATTTGTTGTTAATATGATATTTGTACACTAAATATTGTACTAAATATTGTATGGTACTAAAGTTCTTAATAAGTTTTTTAACTTCTCGTAAGTAATGGGCAGAAAATCGTAAATAAACATTTTTGCATATCTTCACGTTTTGAAGGTTTCTGAACATTTTGGTATACTTAGAAAAAATGGATGTGTGTGTCCACGTTTTCAACCTATTTGAATTGTTCAAAAAACATTCGATTCCTATTGATAGGGAGATGGGCTGATTAGTTTTTGGCAAAGACAGGTCCAGCCGTTACGGAGATACGGAGCAAAGAGTGCAGAAAATACAAATCGAGTTTTTGAGAAAACGGATTATCCGATTGAGTGATCTAAAAAACATTCAAATTGTAATGATTGGGAAAAGAGGTTATTAGTTTTTGTCAAAGGTAGGTCCAGCCATTTCAAAGATACAGAGCTAAATGTGCAAGAAATTGCAGTTTTTGAGAGAACTAATTTTGACTAAAGTTCTAATATACTTTAAACAAGTAATTTCAACTTTGCAATTCAGCTTATATAATTCTTATAAATTTTAGAGAATGTTACAGTGTTACAGTATTAATTTATAATAATCTATTTAAAAACATTTAGTTTTTCTCGATAT